CTCTGGGGTCCGTGGTGGTGTTTAAATGATCACAGCTCATCCGGGCTCTTAAGGGGAGCCTGTCCAGGCTCATTTGTGATATTGCTTCTCTCTCTCTGCAGTTTCCCCACTGGCACCTTGGCATTTCTGGAGCTGCTCTGTTGCCCAGTGTCCATCCTGTCTCCCTTCTGGCCCTGGCAGTGGGGCAGAAATACCCAGGGCCAATCCTGATGGAGCAGCTGCTGATAAAGCAGGGTTCCCATGGTAGCTGCGGATCCCTTGTTAATTCCGGCTGGGTTAGTATGTTTTCGTCCCTCTCTGTGGGCCAGAAGAGTTTCCTCTCACTTTGTATCCTGGCATAGTCTGGATCCATTTGCTGTGCTTTGGGACATAGGAAGTTTTCTTCTGGTGATGAGTTTGGCAAGGTTTGGTGCCTGTTTAAAAGCTAAAATGAGTGGTTCTGGAAAGATCTCTTTAAGAATTGGGTCTTCTTCAGGAAGGGGGGCAACTGAGGATTTTCCATATGGGTTACAGGGAAGGGTGATATGTCATAACTAATGGTGTGCAATTCGTGGGGAATTTCTTTTTGTACTGCAGGAATTCTTCACGTGGCTCTTTCAAAGGTGCAGTCATCTCTGGAGGAGTGTCCTTGTTGAGTGAAAGCCCTTTTGAGAATGGGGAGGTGACGATCACAGGTGTTCTCAGTGCAAATTTGGTAGTATTGGACAGCTTTCTTGGTGTGTTTAGGGTGATTACTGGCTCTATGTAAATGTGTATGTTGGTCCATGGGTTTCTTATATACGGTAGTTTGTATTTTACCATTCTGGATTTTGACCATGGTGACTAAAAAGGAAATGTGCTCGGGATGGAGGCAACTGCTGCTGTGGGCTGCCTGCTGTACCATGAACACAGGTTGAGGGGAACTGGGGCCCCATAGGGCCTCTGCCAGGCTGTGCCCAGCGGTGGGAGACCTCCCCCCCTTTTGGTGCCCCTGCGATGACCAGGGGTGCAGGAGGGTTGAGCAGCCCTTTGAGTGCGCGTGGGATCTGGGTTGTGATCCTGGCTGCATGCGTGCCCCTTCTCCCGTGTTGCAGCTGCCCAGATTCCCCGGCCCAGCTTCCCTGTGTCCCTACCACTCCCCACACTGCCAATTCTCTGTAGCCCTCCATAGCCACCCCTCCCAGTGCTGCTGCCAGCCCTGAACAGGCAGCGGCAGCTGAGTCTGCCCTGCCCGCAGCACGACCCCC